TACGAATGATCAAGACGATTCAATTGAACGAGAGCCTGTGTTAGAGAGAGAGAGAGAGAGGGGAGGAAATTACCTTTTCGAACGGAAAAAACTTATATAGAGCGGAGGCTCTAAACAATTAAATTAGAGCCTATCTCAAAATTTTTACATTAGGTTGTTTTGATGCTTAAATATTCTCAAACTGATCATCTTGACATTAAGGAGCATAAAACATAGGCATAAGAAAAAAAAAAAAATTTCAAATTTTAAAAATAATGCATTTTGTCAAGCGTCCTTAGACCGAATAGGCAAGTCGAATCCGCTTGGTTCAGAAAAACGTATTGATTTCTTTTCCTGGGTTGCTCCAAAATTGTTTCTCTCTCTTCATGGGCGGGCAAGTTTCTCTCTCTTCCCCTTTGACTTTTAACAGTTAACGGGTACGTGAGCGGTTTAATTTTGCGGGAGTATACTGTACCTCCTTGAGTCAGCATGGGGAGCCTTTGTAGTGCACTTCTACATGAGCATACTGGGCATTTGCTCCCTTTGAAATAAGACTTACATAGACTAAATTTTTTTTTAAGGAATTGTTTGATAGGGCTGCAGCCCATCAAAATAAGTTAGGTCTCACCTCATAACTCATAAAAAAAAATTGCAATTCTAAGTGTTGCAAAACTTTTAAATAGATTATCCCAACTTGAATATTATAGTTATGGAAGAAATTAGGATTTCAAATTCTAAAAATAGGGTATATTGCAACAATCATCTAGACCATCCATTTGCCCTAAAAATAAGCATTCACCGATATGCAAGATCTATGCCATTTTTTTTAGTATTTAAATTTTATTGTCGGTGTTGGAAATTACTTTAAAGGCATCATGAAAATTTTTTATACTGAAAGGGCTTTCCGGATGATGATTTTAGGTGAGGCCTTATTTTGTTTTCATAAAGCCTAGACCCTATAAAAACTTCATCCTTTCTTTAATCCAGGAATTTGAAGTATGTGAGATGAGCAATAGTAAAGGATGAGTTTCTATAAGGCATAGGCTTTATTAAAACAAAATAAAGCCTCACCCTGAATTCTGATCCGGAAAATACTTCGGGCATAAAAAATCCCTATGATGGCTCTAAATTCAATTTCTAATAGCAAACATGAAATTTGAAGCTCAAAAAGTGGTACAAATCTTGTGGATCTATAAACACTTATTTTTGGGGCGAAATGGATGGTCTAGATAATTTTTTACAATATTCACTACTTTGAGGGCTTGAAATCTTAATTTCGTTTTACAACCGAGATGATCAATTTGAAGGTTTTTTTACTACATAAATAGAATGTTCAGTGAGGCTTTACATATTTTGAAATGCCTCCAACCCTATCAAAACACTTTCCTAA